CGTGGTATCCCTGAGTGTTCAGGACTAATCCACGGGAGAGCCTCAAGACCCTCCGAGCTACTGATAAGATTACTTAGTTAATTCACCATCGTTACAAATCCATACATACATACATACATGCATACATACATACATACATACATACATACATATATATATATAGACCGCCACAACTGGCCGAACCAGGAAGAAAGGGAATAGAAACCCTAATCTCCCCGAGCCCTGTACACGTCCACTTCTGCATGGGCCAGATGTGCATGGGTCAACGCCTATGGGCTTTAATAGGTGCAGGTGAAGGGAGTTACGAATATCATTGAGGTGAAATATCTTCTCACCGCTATGGTAGTGTTGCAGGAGGCGTGTATGATGTGGGGGCAAATATTCTTGTAATGATGACACTACAGACAGGTACGAAGGTGGTGTTTACTCTGTCAACTACGAAGGGGGTAGCTATTTAGGCGTCAGTGTGGAAAATGGGGTACCATGGCTGATGTGACCAAAATACGCAGCATTCCCTCTTTCTTTAAAGATTTTCGAAACTTTTCTCCAACTTGAACAAAACTCGAACAAAGGATAGATGAAATATGATCAAACATATTCCCCTTGTGAGAAAGGCCAATTAGTATACAAACCAATCAAACGATCTCCAACTTGTGAATAAGGCCATTCGCTATTTGGTAGAAGCTCGCCACAACTAGACACGTTCTTTAGTTGATAAGAGACACGTGAAAAATCCTGGAGACTCTCGACAAAAGGTTGCACAAAGAAACTAGTTCGTATGAACTCGAAACTTGAAAGTTTATTAATTGAAAAGTTGATGACTTACAATGGGGAATTCGACCCCTATTTATAGACTCTCTAACACTACCAAAGCATAAAAAGGAAAACGAACAAAAGACCAAATCCTACACTTGAAAGGAAACACAAATCTCTAACAAACAAGTAAAAGACTAAGTCAACTCACTTCTTAGAATCTATCCTTCAGATCAGCCATGACCTTGTGTTCACACCTTGGTTCCTTTCACACCTTAATCTTTTTCACACATAGGGTTTCTCTTCTATTCGTTGGTCGAATTCTCTCCTCCTTCCAAGCCCATTCCTCCTTCATTCTGGTCCACGAATTGTAGCAATGTAATGGGTTTGCCACGATGTTGATCCACGTCTATTTGAGCAAAGTAACGATCCAAATAACCAACAAATTCTTCCCTTAACCTCTTTGCTTGTAATCGTGTAATTGGACCTTCATGTGAATGTGATGTTATAGACGTGGTCTTGATGATCTCATCGGTGCATAACATGGTCATCATATTGTTCCTACTGAGTATGTCCCACTTATGGAGTGTGATGGAGTTGCTAGTTAATATGGGGACCAACGTAGAGTGATACTGAAAATACTATTCGAGCATCTTGGCTCCCTCAATAGGAGTAGTCTGAATCGCCCATGCGAGCAGTGAGAGATGATGATGTTGGTGGCACAATGGTCCTATTTTGGATAATTCGGGTCATCCATACGAAATGACGAGGAAGAAGATGGAGATTTGGGATTTGTGAAAGAGTAAGAATAAAATGAGGAAAATGATGAGGAGCTGGGGGGGGGGGTCCGTGAGCCTGCTATACCTTACTATACAAATATCCCACCTCATCCATTATATGCTCACAACAAAGACAATGTCTTTGTGCTTAAACAAGCCGATTCCCAGCTCGTCATTCCCATCACGTCCACGGAGGAGTAATGGAAGGCACATGTTATTTATCCACATATTCTCCTTGTTTGGAAACATCACTTCACCAACCAAGGAAATGAGATAAATGAGGACATACCGCTCCACTGCTAATTTCTGAGGTGTTTTCATTCGCCACAACCTATGTTATTATATGATCAAGGAGCCACGTTATCAATACTTGCCCATGTTCATCGGCGGATGACCCGGTCCCACTACCTCCATCGACATATCGAAGCCAAAACAGTCCATACTTAGTGGCCCCCAACCTTCTTCGGAATACTCGAGTTTCCAATGATGGCCTCTCCGGTGATCGACAACTTGGTGAGGATGTTAACATCTCTTAGTGTGATCGTCATCTCCCCCCTGGAGAAAGTGGAAGGTATGTGTCTCGGGCAGCCACCTCTTTGTCATAGCCATCACTAGCTCGTTGTCAATATCCATTCCCATGATTAATCTCACCCTATCCAGCCCCTGTCATTTGTAAATAGGGATAGAGTCGATCATGCTATCAGGGCAAGCGTGATGTCCCTTTATGAATGAGGGGAATAAGTGATTCCTACGAAAAAATGCACAAAGTAAGTTTTTAATGATAGAAAAATATAGCAACATTTCAAAATACTAAAAAACACCATTTCGACTGTCGGGCATACCTAACAGTTTATTGTTTCGCATTGCATGGGATTCATGGATTGCTTGCTCAGTTAAATACATCACACCCCTCGGGACGAGTTGGAAATACAATCTAGGATCGTAAATATCTGCGACGTTCTATCATTAAATATAAAAAATAACATTATTTGATTTGTAAACAAATCTTGAAAATACAAATGTTGAAATACAAGAATTGTTCTTTTGGTGTAGGATGTCAGATTTATCTGCAACTATAGAGCATACTAAGAATTCTTTGATTTGGAGTATTTTGGAAAAAAATCATTAGAATTCAAAAAATAAACGTGTCAATCATGGTTAACCTTCAAAGACATTATTGGTCTTATCATGTGCCATCTATGATTCATGTTGATAAATTGAAAATACCAAATATAGGAAAAATTTACTGAAAAATAAATCACAAAATGAAAACAAGTAGGTACCCTAAGAGGCTCTTCATCCATTTTGACAAAAGTCGGACAAAGGTTCGACCAGATTTTTAGAGGGAGAGGGTTGTCACAATCTCTAGGAAACTTTTTTGATGTAGAAGGTCTGCGTTAGCCGCAACCACAAAGCATATTAAGAATTCCTCGAGTGGTAGATGAGAGGAATAAATAAATGTTGTGGTCGATAGCTTTCCTCTAATGCAATCAACGATTTATTGTCGTCCACATCAAGAATTCTTGACGATCCGCAATCAATCTCGCATTTCACGTCAACGATTCGTGTCAACTACCACGACCAATCGCGTTCCTCGACTGCGAAGTGCAAAGATTGCACCCCTCTAAAGCAATATAGACGTTGATTACTTGACATGTCAAAAATCCTTGTCGATCAAGTTCCGCTATAGCGATCAATTCATAATCGATTTCCTCATCAATTTTGTTGCATATCGTTTTCCTCATTGATAATCAAATAAAAACATGTTTAAATTGCAAATATTATAAGAACTATGATATTTTGAGAATTTTTTTAAACAACAGGTCTACTTATGGGAAAAAATCGAGTAATTAGCATAATTGGTCATAAACCTTTGCACTTAGTACAAAAAGGTCACAAACCTTTAATTTGTAATGATATGGTAACAAAAGTTTGTATTAAATTAATAACAAAATAATCACAAATTAAACAGAGTGACCATTTCATACAAGTTCATACTTTTGTTACCGTGTCATTACAAATTAAACTTTTGGTGATCGTTTGTACAACGTTCAAAGGTTTGAACGATCAATCACTATTAAAATTCACTCCAATCGAGTTATGATGACTTCGTTAATTTATGTGAATGATATAGTCATAACAAAAGATGACAATACTCATAAGAAAAAACAAAGGATGACAGTGAGGGAATTCAATGCCTCGCAAATGGGTTACATGCTGCTTTTTAGTGGAAAAAACTCGAATTACTTTGAAAGGTAAATATTTGACATTCTAATTCGGCAAAACAAGTATATCGATGAACGCACGACCCGACATTTCACGTCGTTCAAGTGGTTAGTGACATATACTTGACGAACACACGATTCGACCTCAAAACGGTCACAAACTTTAATTTGTAACGACCCGGTAACAAAACCGTTGCACTTAATACAAAATGGTCACAAATAAAACAGAAGTGACCATTTCATACAATTTTGAACTTTTGTTAGTGTATCGTTACAAATTAAAAGTTTGTGACCGTTTTGTACTAAGTACAAAGGTTTGTGACTGTTAGGTTAATTTCATTCAAACCTCTTAACTGTCTCCATTTCTCAAATATCAAGTTCAATTTTCGTTTTGCTTAATTCGTTACTCTAATCTAACTTTAATTGCTGAGTTTCTTAAAAATTTATGTCCAATGCTTTGTTGTCCTTTTGCGTGACCCTGACCATTGCTTTTTCTGAGATCCAGAAAATTCTTCTCTCTTTAACTAAGAACAAATATTAAAGCAAGCTAACAGTTCTTTTAATTAACTTACGTAGGCAATATAATAGGGGTCAGCGGATTTAAATTTGGATTACGAAGAGGTGATTAGGGATTACTATGGAAGCCGAGTTGGTAAGTGGCGACGGAAGCACGAAGTGTCGTCGACTTTCAGTGAAGAAAGTGGTTGTTGTGTACGTTCCAAGGATTGAAATACCGTATAAGAAAAGTCAGCGGTAGGATATTTTATACTAAAATCATGGTTTAATTATGGTTCAATTCTATTATACCGCCTACTGATTTTGCTTCCAGTAAGAGGTTGAACTACCGTACCGGAGGCCATACCGAAAAAGTCAGTTGTAGAGTATTTTATGCTAAAACCGTGATTTAATCATGATTCAACCGTATTATACCGCTGAATACCACCTACCAATTTTGATTTCAGTAAGAGGTTTTTCATATTGAACCGCCGATACGATACGATATTTTAATGCTTGGTCCATTCCCAATTCTTGTTCAAGCCAAGGTGGGCAAGTAACCCACCCAGCAATTGGCTGCCTCCGCCACTGAATAGATTAGCCCTATGCTACTGAGAAAACTCTCAGACAATACGACACCAGTTTCCAATGTCCACGACTCCAGGGTGCTGCAGTCCCGTTTCTTCGGTGTCTATCAAAGTCACTTTTCGGCCCTGATCTTCCACTTCGCTCTAAGCAGCGCGGAAAGATGGAATACCGAAACAAGCTTGTCCTTGCTCCCATGGTTCGAGTTGTGAGTCAATCAACCTCCAACCAGCTCTGCTTTAGCCCCCCCCAACTCTTTTTCCCCCTCTACAACCGAACACGCCTCTCTGCCTCCCTTCCTTGCTTCATCCTTCTAATCCTTACCACCGGCGACTACTGCCGCTTTTGACGTTTCTGTTCCAGGGGACGTTACCGTTGAGGCTGTTGGCGGCTGAATACGGAGCAGATATCACCTATGGGGAAGAGATTATCGATCATAAGATGGTCAAGTGCGAGCGCAGAGTTAATGGTTATCTTCTATTCCTCCCCCATTTGCCTTGTTTTTTTTTTTAATGCTAGAGGCGCTGAATTTCTGCTTTCTCGATTGGCTTATTGTGCCACTGGAAAATGGTTATCTGAGAATGTAATTTGTATGCTGCTTCTAGAGTTATGAGTTTCAGTATCTAAATTGTTGTTGGTTTCTTTATCCTGATTGAATTTAGATTTGTATTTACTTTTAGGGGGACAATGCTTTTTAGGTTACCAACTCATATGATGCAAAAAAATCCAATTCAAGGAGGTGATCATTGATCTTCAAACTGTTAAATGAAGCACGGCTTAAGAACGGTAATCCTTGTATCAATACTAGAGACTACTGTCACGGTTTTGCTTCTGCAACTAATTAGGTTAGAATACAGTGATTTGGGATGAAAAGTAACAACATTTTTATTTTTCATAGTCTCCATTCCATCTGAACTGAATGACCTCGTACATCATATATTATGCTGAAATGTCAATGTTTACAGCTTGGCTGCCACCGTAATGACTTGTGCCGTTTGAGTTAGATAACGCTCTAGAAAGCTAAATAACTTTCCTGTTTATAGTGGTGAAAGGAAGAACACGATGAAGAGGAAGCTCATATGTAATCCCATGATCTTGATATGCATAATTGGTGTTTGTGTGCTACTGATACCCAGACCATTACTCGGATATTAACTAGAACTGGGTGGTGAATCTGACAAATAATTTTTTTCTTAATGAAAACTACTGTTAGTGAGTCTTGATAAGGGATAACTGATTTGTGCCCATTAGCTTAAGTTTAATATGGAATGCGGGTGCTTAGGTAATTTCGTTACCCGGTGGGTGATTGATGGGTAAAAAGATTAGTTCTGTAACCATTCTCATCCAAATTTCATCAAGCCTTCTTTTTGTGCGTTGATATATTTAAGATAGATGTGCTTTCTAGTTTCTACTGCCTGTCTACTGAATTGTTGTAAAAAGAAGTTTAGATTACTAACAACATTTCCCTTTCCAGAAAACATTGGATGTACTGATTTTGTCGAGAAGGGAACAGAAACAGTTGTTTTCAGAACCTGCCTTCAAGAGAGAAACCAAGTGGTTTTCCAAGTTGGGACCTCAGATGCAGTCAGGGCTTTGAATGCTGCTCAACTAGTGTGAGTTCTCCTGTTTGTTAATGGAAAAATTTGTAGTAAGGGCTAGTTGAATAACTCAAAATCATTCAAGTATTTAGCATTGGAAAGAGCGCAGTGAATCTGTTTTAAATTCATATTTTTCTTCATCTCAGGCAACTTTTTTTGGCCAATGGAAATTCGTATTGGCATCTTTATTTAAGCAAATAACTTACAATACCTGAGGCCTGATAAAAAACTTATTTATTTCTTTTTGCAGATGTAAAGATGTTGCTGCAATAGATGTCAATATGGGTTGCCCCAGGTCATTTTCCATAAGTGGTGGCATGGGTGCTGCCCTGCTTAGAAAGCCTGAGCTCATTGCTGATGTACGCTGACGAGATTACTACTTTTGAATTTCATTGGTGTCAATAGGAAGAGCTTTATCATCTTAACATTGGTACAGATTTTGACAACACTAAGGAGAAACTTGGACATTCCAGTCACGTGTAAAATTAGACTGCTGAAATGCCCTCAGGATACGGTTGAACTAGCCAGGCGAATTGAAAAAACTGGCATTTCTGCTGTTGCTGTTCATGGAAGGTGATCATATGCTGAAATTACTTTGTGCTTTAAATCTGTTATTTCTGTTTCTATTTCTGGAAGATGATCATTCTTATATCCAAGAAGATGACACTCTCAAGGTTTATGAAATTAAATACGCCCTGCTCCTTTCTCACGTCTTCGGGAATAGAAAACTAGGTTACTTTATGATTTAACAAGTAAATGAGCTCTGGTGATCCATGATTGCATGGATCTTGTACTTTTCATATACCATGGAATGTCTTTATGATGAATCACTTGGATGCATGCCTTTGAAAGTATCAAAAGTGTTGGCACTCATAAGTGTGAATGACGATAAGATGCAACTATTCTTTTGAAAATTTAGCAAATTATTGGCACACATGCTTAGGCAGTAAGGAATTGAGTCACAATACTATTACAATCCCGTGAAATTTCCTGGTCATTCATATGTATTCATATTGATTAAACTGCAGAAAAGTTGCAGATAGACCAAGGGATCCTGCTAAGTGGAATGAGATTGCAGACATTGTAGCTGCATTATCTATACCAGTCATAGCAAATGGTGATGTCTTTGAGTATGGTGATTTTGAGCGTATCAAAGTTGCAACAGGTATCTATCATATGCCCTGAAGATAAGCAAGTCCCACTCTTATTTTGTCAGCTACCAGGCGATGCTTGTGTTTGTATAACCTAGTGCTTGTTGGTCTTTCAGCTATGGTGCGTACCTATCTTTCTTCAGATTTTGCTGAATAAGTTTTAGTGCTTACCTATAGCCTAGAAATTTGCAGTTATTTATAGTTAATGGTTCCGAAAAGTATGATACATAGAATCTTCTGTGATTGTTTCCCTAAGGTTCTATATAACCTCTGCCTTTGTACCAAATTAAATCTCAAGTTACCTTGATTTGCTTCAAGGTGCCACATCGGTAATGGCGGCAAGAGGAGCTCTTTGGAATGCCTCAATTTTCTCGCCTGTGGGGAAATTAGATTGGGAAGATGTCAAAAGACAGTATATTCGAAAAGTAGGTATTTGTCAATCTATTTATGTGGTATCTATCCTGCAATGCAACCACAATGCTATTTGGCAGGGAACAATTTTTAACACCTATTTCTTGCAGAGTATCCTATGGGACAATGACGTAAAAAGCACAAAGCACACTTTGAGGGAAATGATAATGCATTACTCTTGCCTTGAACTCCCTGAAGGAAAAGATCTGATAAAATCAGAAACATTGGCAGATATAGTGTATGTTTTACGTGGGACCGTTCTATATTTTCCAGCTTAGAATAGTCTCCTTGTTCATATTACACATGGGTGTTCACTGTTGGTGATATTGGCATTGTCCTTAACTGATAAATTTGATAAGTCATTTAGGGTGTTTTTGAAGATTGAAAAAGGTGCAACTGGCTATGGATTTTTTTAAAACAAACATTGAGTTTCAATGCAGTCTGTTTATGCATCTGTTTTTGTGACTGTTCCCACTAACCCGTCGTTCTTGCTGCTTATTTTTTTCTTCTTTCTTTTATCTACTGATAAGATATTTGAGTTCTTTTTTAAGTTTCAACCATGAAAGTATCTTTATTCAGAACACACAAATAAGGTTTTTCTGTATCTTGTCATGAGCAGTGGCTGGACTACGAGAGCAAATTCTTACTTATAATGATGGATTTACCTGATGCTGTGGTGAGTGGTGACTACTGATTGTACTAGGAAAGGACTTGGAATCTTTAGGTTTTCTCTTCACAATTGTTCTTATCAATTTCTCGATGAGAATAGGATGTAATCCTCCTGCTACAGAAAGGGCTCAGAACTGGTGTAACACTAAATTAATAGAAAATGGCCTTATACATTGCAACTTGAGACCATTATAATCCTCAGAAATATTTATGTCTGCTGCAGTTCTATTCTGGAAATTTCTATTCCAATATTGCTGGTTATGTTGATTGGAAGTGTTAAGAATTTCGGAAAGTTTGTTTTTGTGTGGGGGCTATTGCTTATATCATAATCTAGGCTGTCAATGAGTTTCGAGTTCATATATTTTGCATTTGCTTCATTGCAGGCGACTTTATGGAGAGGAAAAGTATTATCAGTTCGTCAATGAAAATAGGACTATGCTCAATGGCGGACACAGGGAGGGGAAGTTTATGGTTGCTCCTGAGATTTGATGTCTTTTACCCTTCATGTTCATTATATGAGTCGCTTTTTAAGAATTCATTGTATCAAGAGTATACAATGAAAGCCCATTTTGACTGTGCACTAACCTCCCATGAAGAAGGTGATTAATGCATGCCTTTTGTTGGCCATTTGTAGTTGTACATTGACACTGCTGCTGCATCATCTGATTTCTCAACATTCTGTTTGAAGAACTGCGACGTCATAATACAGACTTACAGTCCAGAGGCCATGTGGGCACTGTTTCGTGCTCAACATGGTCATGTTGTCATACTCTTATCTCAATGCCATATCCAATGATTTTAGAACTGACAATAAGTTTGAACACTACTTGGTTCTGTCTTTTAAGGTCTTCCACCAAGTTGTGTTTCTCTGCACTTCCTTCACTGTTCTTGTATTCCTTCTTGATTCTCTTCTTCTCCAATTTACCTCTCTTTTCTTCTCAATCCAGTGTCCGATTGATCCATGCCTAAGGCCAGCTGTAACAGCTTGGTATTAGAGCTTTTTCCAGCAACCATGATGGTGCCTCCGCCTCTTTCAATGATCGACCAACGATCATCAACCAATGGTAGCTCACTTGTTGCTTGTCATGAGTCAGATAGAAAGAATTGGCATCTTCTCCTGGTCAGAGGAAATCAATCCTTCTGTTCATCTCCACCAATGGTTCTCCCTCCAACCCTAATTTCCTCTCCAACGATATATCTAGCAGTGGTTGTTTCTTCAATTGCCACCGATGACAGAGGCATCTGATGTGATCTATTGCCTTCACTGCTGGTTGAGAGTGTAACGAGGCAAGATTCTAAATCCTCAACCTTGACCATAGTTTCCTTTATTCATTGGAGAAAACAGTAGATGTTGGGCCAAAAAGTATCGGGAGTTGTTTACTGTTCTACATAGACCTGATCATCAAAAGGTTGAGGTTGTAGCAGCAATTTCAGGCACATGCCAAATATTTGATCCTATAGTTGGGCTTCTTGGGGATCGGTGTTGGTTTGGAGGGAATTTGTAGATGACCGGTTCAAGCCTTTTTTAGCCTTCACTAATGGTGGTGTTATAGCAGGGAATTATGGGTGCCTTCTACGATATCTCGAGTGAAATTCGGGTTACCTTATATATTGAGTATGGAAACGCTATCTAGACCTCGAATTAGCAGGATTTTTGGGCATGATATTATACCCTTACCTTTAATGAGTGAACCCTAGGTCCTAATTATCTAAATCATAAACTATAAACCCTAAGATGGTGCATTGATTTTTTTTATCTATATTTGACAAATCATAACCGTTGATTATTGTGTCTAATTAAATTGATCTTGGGGTATAAGATTTAGAGAATTAAGACTTAGATTTTGATCTTTAAGGGTTAGAATATAGTATCAAGTCCGAAAGATCAGTCAATTCAAGTTCAAGATAGCGTTTTCTTACTCAAGGTATGTGGTACCCCGAATTTCACCATGGGTACCGTAGAACTCCTCAAGAATTATGATAGGTTTGTCAAAACCCTAACTACTCCAATATATCTCATCTATACTCTAGATTGACAAAGTAGTATAATGACGACTTTCAAGATCGTATTCTCGAGAGAGAAATATATTGCTACGTTGATGACTCGTCCTTGTAATCCCTTAATTTTTTTATTATGCAAAATCTCTATATTAATAACTATTCACTGGGCATGCTCCTAGCTATACTCCTAACCAAGAAATTGGATCAATGGGGGACTCACCTAATGAGCAAATAAACATGTAACTCAATGGGCATGCAATTACACATTTATATTATTTGATATGTGTTCTAATCTTGGCCCAACAAGATGGACACGATTCACACGAGTGAAGAACAAACAAGTATCACACAATTAAGGACAATTGATTGAAATAACGCAACATCAAATAGTCATAATTCAAACTACGGTTCATAGACATCATCTCCTATGAATCACTACATTGAGTTAGGATTCTTCTTACATCAAGTACAAGAGTTTTAAGCCATAGTCGATGAGAAAAGATATATAAGAAGAGGAAAGGAATAAATCATTTTGATGGAGGCTTCAAGTATTGCTGAGCTCTAAGAATATCCAATCAAGAAGTGGAAATTTTTCCTATTCTTCTAGCTTCCTTCTCTCCCTTTACATAACTCAAACCCTTACCTTCTTCTCTCTAGTGCTGAAAAAACTGATCTATAATTCGCCCCCTTAGAATATGTTAGATTTCTTCTTGTATAGGCATGGGGCATATGAAATTATGGGCGCAAATTCACGATATTCAAACCTGGAACCGACTCTAAATCATTGAGTCAAAAAATAAAAAAAAATGATTATAAACAAAAAAATAAACACAAGTACGATTTAAACAAAAGACTCTACACAAAAGCACAAGACTCTAAACACAAAACAATATTAAAACACTTTTAACCAAAAAGTAAAACAAAGACTTGATACAAATATAAAAAGAAAGAGGAAAATAACAAGTACCTTACTTCCTTTCCAACGTTCGCGAGAGTCGTTGCAAATGGAACCAAAATTTGATTCGTTGTAGAATATACACAAATTTACCTGGTTGGTAACTAGAATCGTAATCCCTTATGGCCTCTCATGATCACTTATTTAGATCGCAAGAAACTTGTCTTTGAAATTTTAAAACAAATGCGGAGGTTGAGGTGTCTCCGGTGTTTAGGTACTCCTTGATTTTAACAAAAGTAAACAAAAATAAAGAAAGTTAACTACTGTTGGATAAGGAAGGCAAGAGAAAGAGGCATTGCATAGGCAAGCTCGTCCGAGTTTCCTTAGACTTGCTTTGATCGATATTGGCAACATATGAGCTATTTGATTCTTGCAAGATTTATTCCTACCTTGTGTCAGGCGTGTCCTGTCCACTCCCCCGAGATTAGATTACTCCCGCCATGGAAGTTTAATTAATTAATTACAATATTTTCGCCAATTAATAAAAACTAAACCTCGGCTCGGCGGACGCAAGAGACTTCACATAGAAAGACAGTGTTGATTGCGATGAGATCTTCTCACCAGTAGTCAGACATATTTCAATCAGGGTGATATTAGCAATAGTTGCACATTAGGACTTAGAGCTTCAGCAATACAGCAACTGAAAGTGAAAACAACTTTTCTACAAGAAGAGCTAGAAGAAGAGATTTATGAGACTCAAACAAATGGATTCCAGGTCATAGGAAAAGAAGAATATGTTTGTAAGTTGAAGAAGTCCTTGTATGAACTAAAGCAATCTCGAAGGACGTGGTACACGAGGTTTGATAGTTACATGATTGAGCTAAACTACAACAAAAATATGTATAATTGTTGTGTATATCACAAAAAGGCCGCAGATGGTATGATCATTTATCTAGTTCCGTTTGTAGATGATATGCTCATTGATGCAAAGTCCAAGTCTGATGTCCAGAAGGTGAAGGATCTTCTCAGTGTCGAGTTTGAGATGAAGGATTTGGAAGATACTCAAAAGATTTTGGGTATGCAGATTTACAGGGAAAATATTAAAAGAAGCTTTTTTTTTTGTTACATAAAATATATATCAAGAAGTTAATGTCCAGGTTTGGCATGTCATCAGTAAAGCCCTTAAATACTCCTAGTGCTTCAAATATTCATCTATCCTCAGTGTATGAACGAGTATATGTCTCGAGTCTCATATTGTAGTGCACTTGGTACTTAGATGTACCTTACGTTTGCACTAGACTTGATCTTTCACATGATGTTAGTGTTGTCAGCAAGTTTATGGTGCAACTTGGAAAATAATATTGGAAAGTTGTGAAGAGGATTTTCTATTACTTGAAAGGTACGTCCGATGTTGGAATCAACTTTGGAAGTGATACAAAGTGCTTAGTGGCTAGTTATTCAGATTATGATTATGCTAGAGATGTTGACATGAGGAGATCCGTGATTGGTTATGTATTCACTATTGAAGGTTCTGTGGCTGGAAGGTGACTTTGCAGCCTACGATTACTTTGTCTAATACTATGGCAGAATACATGGTATTGGCAGAAGTTGTCAGTGAGGGAATGTGGTTGAAGGGGCTGGTTAGTGATCTAGGTCTACATCATGACCAAGAAGTGGTTTATTGTAACAGTTTGAGTGCAATATGTTTGGCCAAGGATTAATACCTTCATGAGAGGACTAAGTACATTGATTTGAGGTATCATTTCTTGAGAACACATAAGAGGATTAAGGTGAAAAGAGTGGGAACTGTCGACATTCTTGCTGATATGTTCACGAAGCCGGTTCCACATGGAAATTTCCAACGACACTTGGACTCTCTAAAGTACTTACTTTATTTATCAATTTCCCAAAATTGATGTCTCGTGATAATTCACAAAGTAATGATTTTTTCACAGTATCATAGAGAAGAAAGGAGCAAGCATAGATGATAAACCCAACATTTAGAAAGTTTCAAGATACTCTAAAGCATTGACATAAGGGGATATAAGAGACCAGAACCTACAAGCTAAACTTACCCCACACGATCACCAAAAAGGAAACCTGAGCTTGTAAAATACCAATGCAAACTTATTGTACCAGTCTCCTTGCTACAGAAATTTCCAATACTTGCAAATAGACGGGTATTTGCTTTAACACTTAGTTATAGCCAAAAGTCAAAAGCAATGGCATCTATACATGAAGCAAGTATTTCTAGTTTAACATAATTTTACAAAGTGTTGTGAATCAATACCTGCGGCTGCGTTGCGTGAAGTGTTCAGCAATGGCATTAATAGGATTGAGAGATCAATGATCGTACTCTTTGGTGGCACCTGAGAGTCCTGTCACCAAAGGTGATGCTTGGCCTTCAATCCATTTTAATTTACTGTTACATAAGGTAAACAATGGTGAATGATTAATAAATTAAGAGAAAACAGAGACAACAAACTTTTCAAGACGAAAGAGAACTTGTAATAAAATATTTCATGAATGCTCAAGCTCAATGGACTACAGTGAAATACAAAATGACAGCAGCACCGCCACGGCAGAATCAATA